TGCAGTTTGTTTCGTTCCGAATCAAAATTTGGACAAATTTTCTGTTATTTGGAGATTTGAACATATCTGAATACCGAATTACAATAGTAACAATGTTAAACAAATCTGAAATAACGAAATGAAATTCGTCCGAACAGATTTGAATTTGAAAACAGTCAAAAAAAATTCAAATTCCAAAACAAATTTGAAAACCAATTTGAATATGAAAACAAGAATAGAATAGAACAGAATAGAAAATAAAAAAATAGAAAAGGATAGAATAGCGGAAAAAAGAACAGAATAGAAAATAAAAGAACAGAACAGAATACAGTAGGAAATAACAGAGTAAAACAACAAAATAGAATAGAAAATAAAGGAACAGAGAAGAATAGAATCCATTAGAATAGAAAAGATTAGAATAGAAAATCAAAGAATAGAATAGAAAAGAACAGAATCAATTAGAACAGAAAATAATAGAGTAAAACCAAGCAAAATAGAACAGAAAATAAAGGAATAGAATAGAATCAATTAGAGTAGAACAGAATAGAAAGATTAAAATAGAAAAACCAAATAATAGAATAGAAAAGATTAGAATAGAGACTCAAAGAATATAATAGAATAGTATAGTATAATATAGAAAAACAATAGAATAGAATACAATTGAAAGAATATAACTGGCTTCCAGAATTTGAATTTTGAATAGAATGAATTTGAATTCGAATAGGGTACATCAGAATAGAATAGAAAATAATAGAAAATAATAGAATAGATTAGAAAAGACTAAAATATTTTACAGAAAATTGTGAGCTGCGCTATGGTGACATGAGTAGTGATCAACAAAGGCACTGTGAAAATTTCCAATATAGTCACGCAGCTCTTCATATAGCCCATATACCATCAAAAACACATATGGATTGTGGATTATGGATTGTAATGTTAGAATTATTAATCCGTTAGTTTTTGAATTCGTTGGAATTATTTTCTAATCCATTGGAATTATTTTCTAATCCATTAGAACAATTTTTTAATCCCTTAAAATTTTCAAATTCATTCGAAATTTCGAATTAGGTCGAATTTGAATAAACAAAACAAATTACGAAAAAAAAACAAATTAAACCAATTTAATTGATAGTACTAAAAAAAATTAGTCAAATAACAAATCGAAACAAAACAAAACAATTTTTTTCACTTTGCACATGTCTAATCTCAGCCTGTTGAACATGATTCCTCTGATTCCTTGGCCTGTCACTTGAACACAATTCTGCTGACTTCCTGGTGTGACCTAGGGCTGCCTTTGGACTATGACTGCCTTCTGCCTAGCCTGCTGTCTGTTACCTTGGTTGCTGGCCCAACTTCTCAGTGATCTTCTTGTCAGACTACATGTGCATTCGAGTCTTCTGCCAAAAGTGAGCTTCCGTGGGCTGGATTGTATGGCACAAACGCAATATTCTCAATGCACAGGTTTCCGCAGATGGCTATTCAGTATTGTTGGGTGTTGTAGTGACCCCTTTTCTCTTCTCTGATTTACTGTTGCTTCCCACCTTGATCCTGACCCCACCAGCTCATTGCTAACTGAGCAATGATGACCTCGGTTCATCTTTGTTGACTATCTGGTGTTATCTCAGCTAGGCGAGGGCAGTTTGTTTTGTTCCAAACTTTATGGCACGATAGCAATATTCCCAATGCACACGTTCCCGCAGATGGCTATTCATTATTGTTGGGTGTTGTAGTGACCACAGGCTGGGTACTGTAGACAATACAAGTGAAGAAATGTTATGAGCACACCAAGGATTCCTCAATTTCCTTGTGTTCATCGTGTGAGCATGAAATAAAGCTTTGGACCCATTCTTGAGGAATCTTTGGTGTGCTGGTGACATTTCTTTACTTGGACCTTATGGCACCTCTCATCTCCTGTTCTCCATTCCAGATATATTTGGACCGGAGGTATAAGGGAAGCCCTCTTGTCTTCTTAGCCTTTAACCAGGTGTGTGATAACTCCTACTATTGGCTTTCAGGCTGCCCTTCAGGACAGTAAGGAGGCATGCAGTCCTGATAAGCGGTCAATTGGCCAACTGTAGGAGCACACATGGCAGGCTGCTAATTGCATGGCAGTAGCTTTGCATCATCAACCTGCAACAGAAAGTGCTGTTAGTGGCAGAATCTCCAGGTAAGACATTTTAGAAAAGGTTCACAAAAATATTTGCTTAAGAAAAGTGTATACAGTGAGATCTAATGTCAAACATACTTAAAACCAGGGCTCTTTTTCAGCTGGAACCTGGTTCAAAACCTCTGCTCCCTGCCCACCGCTATCGCTTGCAAACAGAAGTGACAGCTTGTCTCCCAATGGCTCCCACAAATCTGATCTCCTAGGCAGATGCCACTGAGTGCAGGATGGGGGCAAGGGAAATGCGGGTGCCAGGGGTGCAGTGCAGATGCCGACAGTCCCACTGGATGATCCCTCTGCAAGTGAGAGAGGCAGAACTACCTACAGTGTATGAAGAGGTATTGGAGCCAGCTGGGTGCTTATACAGCAAAAAAAGTAAGACATGTGGAAAATGGTGGAGCTTTTAAGGAGGAGGGGAGAAGATGGGGGTAGTGGGAGGGGGTTGCATGCAGAGGTCAGAGCTGAAGAAGGGTTAAAGTGAGATGTACACGGGGATGTAGAGGTAAGCAGCTGTAGAAGGAGGCTGAACTCTGCACTCTGTGTGTAGCGCACCCCTGAACTCTGCGCTCTGTATGACGTGCACCCCTGAACTTTGCACTGTGTACATACCGCACTCCCAAGCTCTGCACTCTGTGTGTAACACCCCCCCCCAGCTCTGCACTCTATACATAATGCACTCCTGGGTTTTAATGCCCCTTTAAGACCCTCCCGCTGTTAGTGAAATTAATGTGAAAGAGTTCCTGCACCTATATTCTCAGACAAAAAAAAAAAAAAATCCCTTCCTAAAACATACTGAAAACAGATGTTGGTAATGTGTTTTCTCACACTTTAGGGCACTATCAGGGGACTACTGCGATCTCTATGAGTCGTAATAAATACAGTTGCAAGAAAAAGTATGTGAACTCCTTGGGATTACGTGGAGTTTTGCATGAATTGGGCATAAAATGTGCTCTGAACGTCATCTAAGTCACAACAATAGAAGAACACAGTCTGCTGAACATAATACTACACAAACATTAGATGTTGCCATGGTTTAATTGCACATAACATGTAAACATTCACAGTGCAGGGAGGAAAAAGTATGTGAGGCCCTAGCTTAATGACTTCTCCCAGAGCTAATTGGAGCCAGGAGTGAGCCAACCTTGACTCCAATCAGTGTGATGATATTGGATGTGTTGCTGACAGCTGTCCTGCCCTTAAAAAACACACACCTGTTTTGGGTTTACTGGTTCATGCGAGGCATGAACCATGCCTCGCAGAAAAGAGCTCTCAGAAGACCTACGATCAAGAATTGTTGACTTGCATGAAGCTGGAAAGGGTTACAAAAGCATCTCCAAAAGCCTTGATGTTCATGTGTCCACGGTAAGACAGACTGTCTACAAATGGAGAAAGTTTAGCACTGTTGCTACTCTCCATAGACGTGGTCGTCCTGTAAAAATGACTGCAAGAGCACAGCGCAGAATGCTGCATGAGGTAAGAAGAATCCCAGAGTGTCAGCTAAAGACCTACAGAAATCTCTGGCACATGCTAACATTTTTGTTGATACATCTACAATAAGGAAAACATTAAGCAAGAATGGAGTACATGGGAGGATACCACGGAGGAAGCCATTGCTGTCCAAAAAGAATATTGCAGTACGTTTGAAGTTTGCAAAAGAGCAACTGGATGTTACACAGCACTACTGGCAAAATATACTGTGGACAGATGAAACCAAGATTGAGTTGTTTGGGAAGAACACTCAACACTATGTGTGGAGAAAAAAAGGCACAGCACACCAACATCAAAACCTCATCCCCACTGTAAAACATGGCGGAGGGAGCATCATGGTTTGGGGCTGCTTTGCTGCCTCAGGGCCTGGACGGATTGTTGTCATTGATGGGAAAATGAATTCCAGAGTTTATCAAGACATTTTGCAGGAAAACGTACGACCATCTGTCCGCCAACTGAAGCTCCGCAGAGGATGGGTGATGCAACAGGACAATGAACCAAAGCATACAAGTAATTCAACAAAACAATGGCTGCAACAGCACAGAATACGCCTTCTGGAGTGGCCCAGTCAGAGTCCTGACCTCAACCCGATTGAAATGCTGTGGCATGACCTTAAGAGAGCGATTCACACCAGACATCCCAAGAATATTGCTACACTGAAACAGTTTTGTGAAGAGGAGTGGTCCAAAATTACTCCAGATCGTTGTGCAAGTCTGATCTGCAACTACAGAAAACGTTTGGTTGAGGTTATTGCTGCCAAAGGAGAGTCAACCAGTTATTAAGTCCAAAGGTTCACATACTTTTTCCTCCCTGCACTGTGAATGTTTACATAGTATGTGCAATTAAACCATGGCAACATCTAATGTTTGTGCAGTATTATGTTCAGCAGACTGTGTTCTTCTATTGTTGTGACTTAGATGACGTTCAGAGCACATTTTATGCCCAATTCATGCAAAACTCCACATAATCCCAAGGGGTTCACATACTTTTTCTTGCAACTGTATATGTGTTATGTTCATCATTTTGCAAGTGTAAATCCCAGCTGCAGATAATACTTGTAACTGGGACAATAAAAAGGGTATTATCTCTTCAACAAAGACAGAAATCTTTTTATCGTTTTTGGAACATTAAAATGATACTAAAGGTAATTTTAAAAATAGTGGTAACAATGGCTCCCACTGATTTTTCTGAGCCAACAAGGAGGGAGAGAGGCAGGAGAGCAGTTGATCTCATGCAGCTCGCTGGATCAGGATCGAGCTCAGGTAAGTATTAGGAGGGGCTGGGGGAGCTGCGCACAGAAGGTACTTTGTATTTTCATCTATTAGCATGGATTAATTTAGTCTAATTTATTCTTTTATTCCTAGAAATAATGAATTCCACTAACCAGCACAAAGTCCTAGAGTTCACTCTGTTGGGATTGGCCAGTTTCCCCAAGCTCAGCATAGCCCTATTTCTTCTCCTTCTCGTTATCTACATTCTTATATTGCTTGCAAACCTGTTGATCATAGTGGCAGTCCATTTTGAAGTACGTCTCCATTCAGCCATGTACTATTTTCTAAGCAGGTTATCCCTTGTAGACTTGTGCTATGCTACAGTGACCATCCCCAAAATTTTAGCTGACTTCCTTTCCAAAACCAACATAATCTCCTCTAATTCCTGCATCACCCAGCTGTTCTTCCTGCATTTCTTTGCAGGAACAGAGTGCATTCTCCTAACTGTCATGGCCTATGACCGCTACATCGCTATCTGCCACCCCCTACGCTATTCCAGTATTATGAACAAGACTGTCTGTCATTGGCTTGAGTTTGTTTGTTGGGCTTCCAGTTTTTTACATTCCATAATTCAGATCATCATGACATGTCAACTAAAGTTTTGTGGACCAAACCAAATAGACCATTTCTTCTGTGACATCCACCCTTTGTCCGTGCTGGCCTGTTCAGATATTGTCATCATTGAAATAGTATTTGTGGCCAACAGTGGGCTGATTTCTGTAATATGCTTCCTTGTGTTACTTATGTCTTATATGGGCATCATTAACACCATACTTAAAGCCCGATCTGAAGAGGGCCTAGGAAAAGCCTTTTCGACTTGTGCCTCACACCTCACTGTTGTCACCCTTTTCTTTGGACCTTGTGTCTTCATATATTTAAGACCCTCTGTGTCATATGCAGTAGATAAAATGGTGTCAATATTCTATACAATGGTAACACCCCTACTGAACCCAATTATTTACACGTTAAGAAATAAAGAGGTAAAGACTGCCATCAAATCAATTTTGGCCAAGAAGTTACTATGAAAAAGAACAATAAATACAGTAGATAAATCATTGAATTTATATGGTGTGCTACTTATCAAAGATAAATGTGAATCTACACTACTGTGCAAAAGTTTTAGGCAGGTGTAAAAAATGCTGTAAATTATAAATGTGTTCAGAAGTAAAAGTGTTAATAGTTTTTTTTTTTATCAGTTAACAAAATGAAAAGTAAATAAACAGAAGAGAAGACCAAATCAAATAAATATTTGGTATGACCACCCTTTGCCTTCAAAACAGCATCAATTCCTGTAAGTACAGTTACACACAGTTTGTAAAGGAACTTTGCAGGTAGGTTGTTTTCAAACATCTTAGAGAACTAACCACAGATCTTCTGTGGATGCAGGCTGCCTCATACTGTCATTTTATGTAATCCCATAATCCCAGACAGACTCAATGATGTTGAGATCAGTGCTCTGTAGGGTCCAAACCATCACTTCCACAACTCATTCTTCTTTACACTGAAGATAGTTCTTAATGACTATGGCTGCATGTTGGTAGTCATTATCCTGCTGCAGAATAAATTTGGGGCTAATCACATGTCTCTCTGATGGTATGGCACAATGGATAAGTATCTGCCTGTATTTCTCAGCATTGAGAACACAATTGATCCTGACCAAATCTCCAACTCCATTTGCAGAAATGCAGCCCTAAACTTGCAAGGACCCTCCACCATGCTTCACTGTTGCCTGCGGACATTCATTATTGTACCGCTCTCCAGCCCTTCGGCAAAAAATTGCCTCCTGCTACAGTCACTTATTTCAAATGTTGACTCATCGTTCCAGAGCACCCACTGCCATTGTTCTGCACCCCATTTCCTATGTTTTCATTGATAGTTGAGTCACTTAGCCTTTTTTCCACTTCACACCATGAGGTATGTTTTTTTTTGGCTGCAATTCTTCTATGAAGGCCACTTCTGAACAGACTTCTCTGGACAGTAGATGGCTATAACTGGGTCCCATTGGTTTCTGTGCTGATGGCACTTCTCAGACATCTTCTGATGTGGAAGGGAACTAAGCATAATGCATCTTTTATCTGATGCATTCAGGTTCCTTGGCTGACCACTGCGACTACCGTCCTCAACTCCTCAACATTGCCTGTTTCTTTGTACTTCTTCAAAAGAGCTTTAAAAGCACATCTTGAAACCCCAGTCTGATTTGAAATCTTTGTCTGGGAGAGACCTTGCTTTTGCAGTATAACTACCTTGTGTGTTGTTGCTGTGCTCAGTCTTGCCATGGTGTGACATGAAACTGTCTTCAACAACCTCACCTTAGTAGTTCCTAACCCACTTTTAAGCCTTCTACACAGCTTTAAAACAGTTTCTGTTTCAGATAATCACTGTGTTTCAACCCACAAATGAAATTGATGATCATTAGCACCTGCTTGGTATAATTGGTTAATCATACACCTGACTCTAATTCTACAAAATCCCTGACTTTGTGCAAGTGTAGTAAGTGTGCAAGTGTAAGGCCTCATGCACACAGGATGTTTTAAAAAACACTCCTCCACTTGGCAGCAGTATTTTGGGCCGCAAAAAATGCTTGATGCTTGTCAAAGTGTCTAAAGCTTTTACAAGCCTTTAGGTGTGGTTACAGGCATCAAGCACAAGCAAGGGTTTTAATTCATTTCATTGGCCAGAATAATACTTTATTCTGGCCATTGAAATGAATTAACACTCAAGTGATAAATGTGCCTAGCGTCAACGCGCGTTTACACGCGTCAAGCTTTTTTTCCCAAAACTCTGCTGCTCCTGGATGCACTGGCCTTGGGTTTTTTTTCCTGCTGGTAAACACTACTGCTACTAAAAGCTTCTAAAAGTCTATGTGTGCATGGACACCCAGAATAACATGGGGGGCCGTTTGGAAGCAGTAAAAAAAAACTTGACACCCTTAAAACTGGCTGCAAAAATGCTATGTGTGCATGAGGCCTTGGAATTGATGTTGGTCTTAAGGCAAAGGATAGTTGCACCAAACATTCATTTGATTTAGAGTTTTTTTTGTTTGCTCACTTTGCATTTTGTAAATTGATAAAAATAAACAATTAACATATATGTTTTTTAACCGCTTTCCCACCGCCTAGGCAGGGCTGCACAAAATCACTTATATATGTAATTTTCATTTCCAGGTAGGGGGTGCACTCGCACGCCACCCTAACACGGTCCTGGCTGGAGATTCCCCATTGGCACCTGGTGATCGCCATGTAAAACTGACAGGGGCGAGACCTGTGTGTAAACAACATAGATCTCTCTCCTGGCAGCAAGGACATGCTGCTTTGTATTTCTCTGCACAGCGAACTGTAATTAATTGTTAACGGCACAACAAACACAGAAACAAGCACACATTTGCCACCTGAAAAAAATGGGTGACAAATGCAGCAAAATGCGTAATACATGTGCAACACACATCACGTAAACGTCCTGTAGCCCATTGAAATGTTATTACTTGCACTACATTAATATGGACATTAGATGGCAGTGGTCTACCATTTAGAGTCACTCACTTGGACAGAACAGCCCTTTGGAACTTGTATGCTGTATAGCAGGACTCAGCTGGCGAGCAGGGCAGTCAGGGACTACATTTCCCTAAAGAGGTGCATATAAATATCAAAGCCTGGGAGATTGGCCAGAAGAGTGCAGGGAGAGACTGAAAGAGAAGGAGGAGCGCTGATGGCTGAAGTGTTGAACTAGGCTGTGGAGCCGGAGTTGGAAAGAGAGAAAGAGCCTACCGACCACCTGGTCTGCCACGTTGCCCAGCAGGCTAATCTGACAGCAAGAGCTCAGACGGGATGCCGAGTCTGAGCCAGAGAGTTCGTGGACTGACCCCGTTTACAGAGAGAGACAGACCGCTACAATCTGCTGAACTACTTTATCAGGTAAAAGATACCAATGCACCCACTAACCAAGTGAATACTGATAGTTTGCCACCTCAGCTATCTACGTAGACATAGTTTGAACATTACATATAGCTGCCTCAGTTTGCTGCCTTGTTCTCGCAACCACCATCATTGGGACACATCTACATTGAAATTTCTTGAACATACAGCTGCAGGCCAGGATACAGCAGTGCCAATTGAAACAAGTTTCCCTTCCTCAACAAAGCAGGATTCCCACTACTGTTAACTTTTGCCTTTGATGTACCAAGGGACCAGTCTTTGCCTAGACATTTATGCCAATTGTTGCTATTCATCACTTCAAGCCTGCCCCAGGTTTAGTGCTTTAAAGGGAATCCTGCCTTAATTCATTACCATAAAGAGGAAAAGTGTTAATTCTCCCCTTGTTTCTTCACTATTTCTGTGTCATCATCCCATGGAACTATATTACACACCTAAACTCCACTTCATACAAACTGGGTCCCAACAAGTGTGCAGAAGACACTATAGTGTACTTAAAAGGGACAGTGCCTAATTTCCAATGAGAATTCTTCTCTTTCCTTCACATCTAATCCTTGTCATCTAGTTTTGAGGACCCAGAGTGAGCTTAATTGTTCCTTGACAGTTTTCTGCTCACTGTGGATTCAGCAGTCCCCTCAGATTGGAGGCAGTGGATTATTTCTGCTAACAGTTATTGTTGATTGATGGTGAATTCCGTTACTTTTGCTCTCAATTATCTAGAGTATTTGCTGCATATATCAATGTCATTTTGTTCTTTTTGACCAAGTTACTTTTAATTTCAATATAAACTTCAGATTGGTTTATCCTAACTTGCTAACAGAGCCGTGTTGCTCCATGTGCTGGCATCCATCTTGAGCTCTGAGGAAAGGAACCAGAGAGGAAGCTGGTGATAGAGTATACATCACTGGGGAGGATCCTGGGATATACCTGAGTGGTGTCTGTATCCAAAAGCGAGCTGACCCTGTAGGGTCTATGTAAGGAGGTGAGGGGTAATTGCAGCTATTTTTGGATATACACAGTGTGGACACTTGATATCACCTGCATGAAGATTGTGTATTGGACACACTATATATATATGGACATGTTCACAATGAGTGGAGATTTGCATTAGAGTGTACTGTGATATATTGTTTGTTTTGGTCACTTGGTCACTTTGATTATTCCCGTAGGGAATACACGGATTGCACTTTATTGAATATATTTGATCACTTGGTCACTTTGATTATTCCCGGAGGGAATACACGTGTTACACTTTATTCAATTAATACTGTATTTGCACGGTTGCACTTTTATATGATATATATTTATTTTGTATTTATTTATATATATAAATATATATATATATATTTACTTTAGATTTATGGTTTAGCGCTGCACTATTTATTTATTTATTACTTTAACTGACAATTGCACGGTCATGCAACGCTGCACCCAAATTAAATGTACAGGTGAAACTCGAAAAAATAGAATATTGTGCAACAGTTAATTTATTTCAGTAATGCAACTTAAAAGGTGAAATTAATATATGAGATAGACTCATTATATGCAAAGCAAGATAGTTCAAGCCGTGATTTGTCATAATTGTGATGATTATGGCTTACAGCTCATGAAAACCCCAAATCCACAATCTCAGAAAATTAGAATATTGTGAAAAGGTGCAATATTCTAGGCTCAAAGTGTCCCACTCTAATCAGATAATTAAGCCATAACACCTGCAAAGGGTTCCTGAGCCTTTAAAAGGTCTCTCAGTCTGGTTCAGTAGGAATCACAATCATGTGAAAGACTGCTGACCTGACAGTTGTGCAGAAAACCATCATTGACACCCTCCATAAGGAGGGAAAGCCTCAAAAGGTAATTGCAAAAGAAGTTGGATGTTCCCAAAGTGCTGTATCAATGCACATTAATAGAAAGTTATGTGGAAGGGAAAAGTGTGGAAGAAAAAGGTGCAAAAGCAGCAGGGATGACTGCAGCCTGGAGAGGATTGTCAGGAAAAGGCCATTCAAAAGTGTTGGGGACTTTCACAAGGAGTGGACAGAGGCTGGAGTCAGTGCATCAAGAGCCACCACACACAGACGGATCCTGGACATGGGCTTCAA